ATCAAAGAACATTCCTATTTTATTGTTTAGTCTAAACCATACGCATTTTTATCGTTATATTAATTACACATAATTATTTTAATGTGATCTAAATGACAAAGAGATCAGATATTCATGAGTTTTAATAAATTATTTAATTATGTTGGTTTGAAAGAAAATCACCTAAACACCTAAAAGTCATTTAAAGCTGGATTAAAATTTCAGGAAAGATTTATTAACTAGTTTTGCTCTTAACTCTTGTTGCCCCGCGGTCGGTCTTAAGTCCCTTAAGCATCGAGTAAAGAAGCAATTAAATTTCGTCTTGTGAAACAGATTCCCATTTTTGAGCAAAGTGCGGTTTGCAGCCCTTCTACCCTTGTTGGATTTATAGCTTGTCTCTTCCTCATGTCCCACAAGTTTTCTATAGTATTTAGGTCAGGAAAACTTGCTGGCCAAACTATTTTGGAAATGTAATTGGTGACAACTCGAGCTACATGCAGTCGAGTATAATTCATTATCAACACGAAATTGGTTATAGTGTTAGTAAGTATAGTGATAATGATAGTGATGGAGATGGATACTAGGAAATGGGGTTTTGCGTTCCCCAGACATTGCAGCATTGTGGCTGATTGTATCTTTCCAGTTCGTTCCCTAGTCGAGTTGCAATCGACTCGATCATTCTTCTAGTAAGTATTAGATCATTGTGCCGCTGTTGTAATTCCATTCCCTGGGTTTTGTTTGTATTCCAAGTTATAACCCCCAATAAATGGAGTGAATGGCACCACAGCTATCGGAAAATTTTTCTCAATGTACCTTTGCGAAGTCAAAGATTCGTTCTGTATGATAATCAGTTCAGTACGGCATGGACATTGATTCGACCCCTACCATGACTAACTGTCTTTGCAGCCTAGCATTATCCACATCAGCTTTACACTCAGTCTCGGTCATCAGATATTCACAAACCGAACTGGTTCTGATCTGTAAAGAGAGCAGCCGCCCATTGTACAAGTTTCCAAGCGAGATACTGATTTGGGAACCGTGGCTCCACTCCAGAAGTAGAGAACCTGATGAATGTCTAGAGACGAGCTATTATCCAGAAGCCTTCTGATGACTGGTTTAGAGCTCATCCTTGCATCGGAAAGTTTTGAGTTGACTGCTTATCAAAGAAATGATCAATGACAATTCCGTAGTGCAGTAAGAGCAATAAAACCATTGTCTCTAGCCGCCGTACATTGCGGTCGACTACTACCTACCCTTCGATCGAGACTTCAGGTGGCCCTAAAGCGATAGAGACCATCGTGAATGTTAAAACGCGGCACACCCAGGACTTGGTCTATATATACCGAAAGCTAGGTCCTTCGTTGGACAAAGGATCTGTCCGGCGAGATCTTCTCGACTTAAAATTATGCCTTTAAAAAAATTACTTTAATGTTAAATGTTTAATCAAAGTGAAAAAATTTAAAAACTAATTAGTTACTCCATAAGTTAATGAGAACATGTCCTACAATTAGCATGGAAAAGATATTGGGACTAATCCCCCTACATCACATGGTAGAAAGGACAGCACAGAAAACCATAATCAACTTTATTAGAGAGAAACCTCCAACAGGAATACTGAGAAAAACTGAAATGGAGAGACAGAAAAAACTGAGGATAAACCATCCATCACTCATGGCTCCAAGAGATGACATGAACAGGATGTTTGAATTTAACCAAAAATTCCGAATACATCTGGGCACCAAAAAGGAATGGGAAAGAAAGGGAAATAACTCCCTCAAAAATGGCACCATCCTTTGGTACACAGATGGATCTGGAACACAAGAAGGTACAGGGGCAGGAGTATTTGGACCTGGAACCAAATACTCAGAACCCATGAGAAAACACACCGGTATCTTCCAAGCTGAGATTCACGCAATTGAAAGGTGTATCCAATTCAATCTAAATAAAGGTTACAAAAACAATAATATAGCTATCATGTCAGATAGCCAAGCAGCCATCAAAGGACTAAGCTCAAATACCATTAGTTCAAGGATGGTGCTGAACTGCAAAACCAAACTAAATATATTAGGTATGCAGAATAAAGTCAGCCTCTGCTGGGTCCCAGGACACATGGGAGTAGAAGGCAACGAGAAAGCGGACACCCTTGCAAGGAAAGGAGCTGCCACACCGCTGATAGGACCCGAACCCTTCTGTGGCATAGGAATCCACACTATTAACGAATATCTCAGACAGAAGGACAAAAAGAAAATGAGGGAACTTTGGAATTCACTTATTGGACATAGACAATCCAAGAATCTTCTAACCAATTTTGGCAAGAAAGAAATCACAGAATGTGTCAAAGGAAGCAGGAATAGACTGCGAATCCTAACAGGATTCCTGACAGGACACTGTAGATTAAATGGACATCTAAAGAAAATTGGAATAATCCAAGATGGCACATGTAGATTCTGCAAAGAAGCAGAAGAGACACCAACACACTTACTAACAAACTGCGGAGCTACACTAGCCCGCAGGAGGAAGTGTTTTGGGATGTACAATGTGACCATAGAAGAACTACAACCACTGAAACCGGGCCTATTAATCAAGTTTCTTGATGAAATAGGACTCACCGATGTGCTTTAGGCAGAGCACAGGGGATACAATAGCTCTTAAAGGGCGCAGTATACTATACCCTGAAATTACATCTACATCTACTCCATAAGTTGGCACTTGAAAAGATGAAACTGAAATGGTTTTCTTTATTTTTAATCATAAGAGTGTAAAAAGAAAAAAAACAAGATATTGTCGTGTTTACGTTATATGTCTTTATACCTAGTTATATATTTTGTTATTAATTAAATTTATTTATTAAAATTGGTCTTATTGGACCATCCATTAATTTTACAATAATATTATAGAATAAATAAATGTTTACATTCTTATAAACCCATTGGTACAATAAGATTTGCATTTCACTCTTCACTATTCATTTTTAACTACACAAGTTCATATGACTTTGCTCTTTTTAATCTTCTGACCATGTTTCGGTTATGTAAGAGTTTGGTCCCTTCCACATTCTCGTGCTGGCTAAGGCGAGCCGGGTGTTTGTCGGCAAATCTTCGTATTTCTGCCGTGACTTCAGGGATCTGAAGATCCCTATGTTAGTCCTTGTTCCTTATGTACCAAGGTGCATTGACCATGGTAAGTAAAATTTTATTTTGGAGTGTTTCTATAATTTTGGTATTGCTGTGTTTGGTATAACCCCATAGTTGAACACCATATGTCTAATAGGTTTTATGACTTGTTTATATAATAATATTTTATTTTGTATAGCAAGGTTGGAGCCATGTCTTATCAACCAGTATAGTTGTCTATACCTTAAACCTATTTCTGTCCTTTTTTTCTTCACGTGTTCTTTCCACCTCAGCTTGGCATCTAACGTCATTCCCAGGTATTTAGCTGTATCGCTGTATGGTATACTATTTCCATTGATTGTGCGCGACGGAACATGGTCCTCTTTTTTGTTTGTAAAGATTGGATGAAAATTTATGCTGATTTAGCTTGATTTACCATTTTTTGTCCATTCGTTTATCTTATTACATGCATTTTGGAGGATTTTGGTTGAATGGGTGATAGTCGGTCCTAGTGATATCACCGCTGTCATCTGCAAACGTTGCAATTTTTACTCCATCATTTTTCGGAAAATCACTGGTGTATAACAAGTAAAGCAGTGGACCTAGTATGATACCTTGTGGCACACCTGCATTTATTGTTTTTAATTTTGAATATTGATCGTCTTTTTTGACTCTAAACAGTCTGTCAGTTAAGTAGGAATAATATCGATATACTGCTTTGGCAGCATAACTTTTAGTTTATTGATGAGTCCTTCGAGCCAGACCTTGTCAAAAGCTTGTGAGACATAAAGGAAGATAGCAGAACAAATTTGTTTTTCTTCGAGAGATTTTTTTATTACCTAGTTATATGAAAATTATACAAAAATAATAAGTGTCCGGTTTTGTCTTTCCGTGTTTATCGGTTCGCCATTTTGTTACGAAAAGATGAATTTTTGATTAGTTTCCTCCCATGCTAGTTTTGGTCAACATCAATCGTATCATCACTCCCGATGATTTCGTTTTCTACACGAAACCTTGGCGACACTAGAATATGTGGTAACGGCACATCAAAGGGCCGAAAGTATCCGCTTTACATCGAGGTAGATTTATTGTATTGACGACACTTTTCTCAGTATCACGTTTTCAGTGGCCGTTGGGTGGTCTGGCCGACTCTTTTGTTGTATTTTTTATTTTTTTTACGGCGGTTATTCGTCACATCGGTTTTCTGTAGTTCACTGTTTAACCTACACAATTTAACAGGATGTCCCGTATAGATCATTGAATTTAAAGTAACAATATTGTTTTAATAAATATAAAGAAAGTCTCAAGGCAAACTGGGGCAAGTTTAAATTATTGATATTTGTTTTAAAAAACAGTCTTAGTTTAAAAGTGTATTCTAATTTATAAAAAGGAGATACTTTTCTGGGTTAATGTTTCGTGGCTGTTACTAACTCGATGCAGATAGAAGAGAATGTGCTCGTATTCCCTGGGGAGTGGGAAAAGAGCCGGAGGAGCTGGGAAGCCCTCAACCCCTGGCTATAATATATCTGGTCTCAAAGTTTTTAGCCCCAAAAGAGTTGGACATCTTTAGGACTCTGAGAACTTTCAATGGCCTAATTGTTACATACACAGCCTCGTCCATTAGACTTTGGATAAAGTGAAAAGAGCCGTTTAACAGAGTTTAAAGAACCCGTAAATCTCCCTTTCAACGCGTATACTGGGAATTCATTGTTTCTTACTTATCTAGAAAGGAGTGATACCCTATCGGAAACAAAACTTTCTCGTTGCCGGGGGATCTTCTAGTTTCCGCTCTTTTGGGTTCACCTCACGGATCTAAATAGGAATCTTAGAACAAGAAAGAACAGAATAGAAAAGATTTGTGCTCGACTGATAGTTTTTGAAAAAAATTATTTTATGGTAAACACTTACCGAATATTCCGAGGCGAAAATTTATCGTGACGACGATCACATCGCCGTACGATGCGAGGATAGTTCCGTCGTAAGGGTTGCCGGAATTCCAAGAGAACGATTCACCGTGTATGAACATGATCACAGGCATTTTTCTAGACCCCCACGTGTATTCTGAAAAAAAAAATCAATAAAATAAAAACATAAACATTGTGTAAGGCATTTTTCCGTGAAATTTACTCTCGTGGTCTGCGCGGTCATGCGAAAACACCGGGCACAATTTTTTTTTGTAACGTTGACGTGTTGCATAAAGATTCTTCAGAGGTAAGAAGAAAAGTAATGGAGACTTTGTACATTAACGTGGAAAAGAACTCTTGTAATGTGCAGAATGATTTTCAAAAAATCAGTCCAGCTTATTCGGGTTTGTTACAATTTGTTAGGGAGAGGAAGTTTCAGATGTGATTATGTTATCACGTGTCCTTCCCAATCTTATAGCTGAGGTAATTGTTTGATTAGAGTTCTCGATTGTATGTATAAATTTTTAAGAGTTACCATTCCTGTTTTTGTAATGTCTTTTTTTACTACAAATTTTATTAAAATAACCCAATATTGTAAGTATTTACTTGAGCCAAATTTGGTTGTTATTATAAAATAACTGAAAATAACTGTTAATTTATTGTTGTAAATTTGTTGGACAATATAAGCCCTGATGATGACCCTGAAGCCTGTGTCGAAAGCTTGGCGATGTTGACATTTGTGGTTATATATTATTAAAAAATTGTCCAATGGTTATGCCCAATAATGTCAGAGAACCGATCCTTTTGTTGAGATGTACATGAGGACTAATTTGAAATAATTTTGGAGAACTTTTCCATGTACTAATCCGCCCCGAAGAATATCGAGTATTCTCGGAGAATGAATGGAATCTGACTTCTATGTATCGGGGTTGTGCTTATGTTAATTTATAGAAATGAATGTGATTTATTAGCGTGAAAATAAGGGGTTATTTAATGATGGCCCGTGCAATATCGAGTCTTCTGAAGGAGAAAATCCGACCAGATTGCTATGTTTCTATAGGGTGGGGGTATTGCATGTTTTATGTATATTTTGTACTTGACAGCCTGAGGTACAAATGAGAGGCTAGCATTACGATATCGACTTACTTTTCAAAGAAAAGCAGTCATTTATTGACCTAGACACTCACTTCGGTATGTACTGAAGGTTGAAAAATGGGCGAGAATGAAAAAAAACAAGTACAAACACGCAGAGGGCCGGCAATGGCTCCAGCTGTTTGTTCCCACATTATGTACAACTTATTGCTAAAAAAAGATTTCAATTTTTTACACTTTGCCTTATTGAAACGCGAAAAGAGATTAAGAGCCGATCTTATTTTTTTCGCAAATCGCTGCCTTTTTTCCTCGAGTTCCATTGGAATGAATCTGTCTGATGTCCGGTTTTCGGTTCTCGACGAATAAAAACATAACAGTTAAATTATTCGAAAATATAACACATAATTATAAAAAACAAAATATAACTAATAATATCGCGAAATCAACTTCAAACTCACAAAATTTGAAAAATAATTTTTTTTAAATTGAGGTAAAGTTGCATTTTAGTGACACAAAAATAATTTCTATTGGAAGACCCTTCTGTTACAATCTTACTAAACCTTTCCCCCTTGTCTTTAATTTCCCGAAATACAGTATTGCAACAGATTGGTATAAGCTAAGCATCAGCATAGATAGATATTTTGACTTTAACTCATTAATTAATTTTGAAAGGCCTATAATCTTATAAGAAGCGTATTTAGCTTATGGTGCCTCAATTCCATGAACTAAACAATGTACAATTAAAATGATATTAAAAATGAACCGTAATATCAGAGGATTTATTAATAAATTAATGTACATTTATGAACACCAGTAGCTCCCTATTTAAAAGGACAGTAAACTAATCAGTCCTAAACCCTTTCATTTGCTTTTATACCAGAAATGGCAGATAATTTAAACATTTTGTACAAAGGAACCTACCCCCCTTGATTTAATTTTTAAGTACAACAACTAAATCAATGCACTACGCTCTCACACAAAAGCAGAAGACTTTAACGTTGAGTTGCAATATTATATAAACTTAACTATTTTCGTGGTCCGCTTGACCAATTAACATCTTTCAATTAATTATGGTTTTTAGTTGAGATAAAATAGTCAGTGTCACGAGCAGGAATCGTACCCATGATCTTCGGCTAGATACGCCGCTACTCTACTACCGCTTGAACTGTCATTTGAAAAATGGCAAAAAGGAGGGAAAATTCAAAAAGGTGGAGTTGAGATGGGAAGTTAGTGTCCGAGTGGATCGAGGTCACGATAGCTCAAGTGGTAGAGCAGCGGCGTATCTAGCCGAAGATCCTGGGTTCGAATCCGGCTCGTGACGCTGACTTTTTTATCTCAACTAAAAACCTTAATTAACTGAAATAATATATAACATTTATTACAATCAAAGTGGTAAAGAATAATCAGATTAAACGTATGTTAAAAGAACGTACAGCACATATCAGAAACTGTACAAATACAGACACGATTTACAAACGCTCTCAACATAGTTACATCAATATATCACAAATTACATTGTTAAAATTTGATACCCGGGATTCCTTACCAAAGACAGACCTGCCGAGAAGAACGATAAAATAAAATTTGTTTATCGCTATGAACACTAACGGTAGAATATACTAAAAGATAATGTGATTACTTCACTATATTCAGGAATTTGAAAAAGTTATCATAGAACAAGGGAACAAACAAAACGGGGTTAATAATGACTGTATAATTATAAAATAAAATGTTAGTGTCATTTAATTTATACATAAATATTAAAAAGGAGACCATCTCGTCCAATATGGAGTTTAGATCTAAGATATGGTAATCAAGGATAACCTTCTCTATAAAGCTGTAACTATTTCTGGTCTTGTATTAAAAACCTGTCATAATTATAAAGGTAGATATTGTACAATTTAAGAAATAAAACGATAAGTACGTATTCTTTACATACAAGTTATATTTATTTATTAACAAATTTTGTTGATTAGTTTTAGGCTTGTTCTTGACCACTTAAACAACTTATTAGATTATTGTTTCTATAACAACAACAACAATGTAATAATTTTTTGAATTGTCGAGGAGCGGACAGGAATGAAGTATTTTAGAAAAACACTTTTACATTTTTTTGGCCCATCTTTACCTTTATTCGGGTCATCTTCAGGACTTGGATAAATTTCAAAAGATATGCCCTGAACATGTCTTGAATAAAGGTTGAAACGTCGGTAAAAAAATGACAATGTTTTCTAAAATACTTCCTTCCTGACGGCTTCTCATCACTTCGAAAAATTATTGAACAACCGGTTGCTAAAAGCACATATTTGCTGTTTTCGTTAAAAGATGAACGTTGTTGATGTTTCGTTCGTTATTTATCTTATACCGTCAAGCTTCCATTTTTATGAGTATTGAAAGAGTTGATTAATCAATCACACAAAGAAGCAAGATAATTTTATTTATTTAAATTATATAAGCAAATATGAAAATAAATTTAATATTGCATTATCTGTTGAACAGTCTTTTCAAAATTCCTCCTCCAAGTTCCTGTAGAAAGGAGATGTCTTTAAATCGATTTAACATTGTCCGAACTTTTTTTTCTCCCTTCAGAAAGTTGTTAAAGCAAGGGTGGTTCGCAGAAGTGGAATCAAATAGTGACAATCAAAATCAGTTAGCCGAGGGAGAGAAGGTCGTTGAAGAATTTCTGCTCTTTTCAAACTTCAAACGCGTCTCAAGTTAGGGAAGTTGCTTCATTCAGTTTGTGCTCAAATAAAAAAAATGACAAAAGATACTGAGGAAATAAAAGAAATATGAAAGAAATCGGTCGATTAACGGGAAGAAGTTCCATTTAGCCCCACGGATGAATATGCGCATCCATCCATATATTTGTCGGAGTTGAACTCGACTGAAAAGCCATTTTTCATTAATTAGGGGAGAGGATTGAATTAGGGGATTAACCTAACGTGGTCGAATTATTAAACATGAAATTCACTTAAACTAAGAATTAATTAGTATGCGGCATTTAGGCCCGGGAATTTTTGCTTATTCAAATAGCCCGAACCGACCCGAATGCAGAACAGCTGCTCAAATATAAATTGCTCTCTTGGCTCAAAGAATAAAGGACATTCACTCCTTTCGTTTCAGCGAGAATTCGAATTACATTATGCTATTGCATATTTGCATGAAAATAATTTGCTTCTTTGATAACTGTCGATGCCTTAATTATCGTAATTATCACCACGATTAGAAGGTAGGTTGGTAAGGTTAATTTTGCCAGGAAATGCCATAACGATGACTAGTTTATATAAAAATTTGTTGGATCGAAAAATTTTCTACTACAAAATACCTGGACAGTATTATTTACAATTTTATTTCTAAACAATATAACTCTTGTCCGGTGTTATCCGTCCAGTCACCAAGGTTGGGCTATCAACAGCTAGGTCATTTCTGCTTCCAACGTAATCAATCTCTCATTCACACTCTCCCTCACGCTCCAATACTTTCTTGGAACGTGCAATTCAATCGGTTAGAGTGGTGGAGTTCTCTATATTAGTCCATCATACTCTATAACTAAATCATCAACTGTTTTTAGCAAGAACTGGAACAGGGGATTCAGATACTAAGAATTGCATCCTTCAATAGATATTAAAAATAGAGCAACTTTCGCTGCATTCCGTACACGTACGTGGGATTTGGCCAAAATATAAGTGACCGCGTGTCAATCTTGCATTGCCTATTCTTAATCGTATGATCCTTCGTAAGTTCGAACTTCCGAAGGCCATTTATCGACAGAGCCTTGATACCCTTCGAGTTCTATGCCGATCACGCCCACCGACGATCAAAATTTTAATCAAGATTTTAGCGTCAGAGGCCCGGAGCTTGGTTGTCATATCTGTAGTTAGGCCGTCCAGGCCTTTAGTCGCCTCGTCCGCCTGTTCACTACCACTCAGACTGTTTTTACTCCAGGTCGTCCCGCAGGTGCACCAAGTGTCGAAGGGGAGAGTACTGAGCGCGATGATGTAGTCGGTGCAGACTAGGTAGGCAGAGCACCATCGTTTCGAATCACCAAGCGCATGGGAAATCGCA